ATGAACTCCAAAATTTCCAACGTTTCTCAAAACAACTTTTTTTGCATGAAATATTGATAATTTTAGCGCGTTTTTTTTTTAAATTTGAGTGTTTTCAATGCAAGGAAGGTGTAATAATATAAATGTATAGGTATAGAACAGGTATGGTATTACGAATATATAGACTGCTGTTTGTATCAAATTGTTTTCTTTTTTATATTCTGCAAAGATAAAAACTATCGAATTTTTCCATGATGTTTACAGAGAAACGTCACAGCTGCCAACCCCCCCCACCCCCAAACGAACATATGACGTTTCTCGTGGAAAAATCGATATGTGAGGCTTCCCTAAGATGGGTCACCAAACTTATTGGCAAAATTTGTGATTTACCTCCAGCCCACCCTAGCAGTTACTTTATGACCAGTCCCTTAACTATGTTTTGAGTTCTTGAAAGGCCTAATTGTTGTTTCTTGATCATTTATTATACACTAGAAGCTTGAAAATGTAAATAGTTGTCGAATAAAGCTCAATATTTTGGACACATAAATGTAAACAAAGCCAAAGACTTTGTTTACATACGGACTGTAGATCACCTTTAAAAGGTAAATTCGATTAGAGTATTCATTTCATATTTCTCGCAAATTTGTAGACACCTTTATTTAATACGCCCTCTTCGCCACAAACACAAAATAAACGAATTATTATTAACTCTATTTTCTTATAATTATGATTAACACTAAATGGTATCTGCTATAAGAGCTAGCCTATATCTATACAGGCATACAACTATTTACATGAAACGGCCACATTTGATATACGCACGAGTTTCCTCGACAATAATGGCACAAAGTACCACATGGCTGAGCGTGTTCCTAAGATTGAACGCTGTTCATCAGTTTATTCAAAACAATAAATAAATAATAGTAATTTTTACCAATCTTAGCTCCAGGGCAGCCTGGCTCCAGGATATGATTATTCCTTGACCGACCTATTAATATCCGCAATTCCCGCCAAAACTCTCACGACTGAGTGCAATTCCCGCCAAAACTTTTACGACTGAGTCAGTACAGGACTGAGTCCATGTACCGTCGCTTGCAGGATGAACGGTCGTTGATAAAAAACATTGCCTGTTCGCGTGAGAATCTTCGATATTTGTCAAGAGCACTTGACAGGTTCTGATCTGATGTTAATCTGTTGAACAACCAAATCCAAGCTTTGAAACCACCAAATGATCATAAATGATCATCAAAAACATTGAAGTTTCTCGGTAAAAACATTGAACTTTGTCATGAGAATAGACAATTATACTTTACTGCCCCACCGTTCATCCTTAGTGCATTCAGGAAATGAGTACGCCTTTTTACAAATTGCAGCCCGCGATTTGTAAAACACGGACTCAGTCCACGTTTTACAAATCTTAGTTCGCGATTTGTAAAACGCGGACTCAGTCCGTGTTTTCCCGGTCCAGTCCGGTCCGTGTTTTACAAATTCAGTCCGCGATTTGTAAAACACGGACTCAGTCCGCGTTTTCCCGGTCCAGTCCAGTCCGTCTTTTACAACATGCCAAAACACTTAAACTATACCAAATTTTTATGCATTCCACGGTGGTATACAATCTCATGCCCAGAGCCTGCGGTTCTTATATTCGACAACAAGAGCTTTTGGTACGTAGAAGTAGTAGGTATACGTACGTACGTATTGTCTTAGTTTAGTACGTCACCTTGCAAGTATACTGTATATTGTGGATATGAATCATATGATCTTATCATATTTCACTAGTGTTCCATTCGTGTTCACTCATGTTCATTCGTGTTCACTCGTGTTCATTCGTGCTCACTCGTTTCATTCGTGTTAACTTGTGTTCACTCGTGTTCTGACTCGTGTGGAGTTTTAAGATCAGATACCATATACCATTCAAAGGCAGGGGCGTAGGAACTGGGGGCACATGTCCCCGATTTTTTCAAATGATTAAAAGTGCCCTTTTTGTGTGAAAATTGCCTGTGTGTTGCAGTAAATACTATACTAACATTTAAGGTGCCCTTTTTGTTAGGAAAATTCGATGTTTTAAAAGGAAATTTAGTCAAAAAGTTAAAGACCATGTAAAGTCCGTAATGTAAACAAACGCTTTGTTTACATTTTGAACTCAGTGCTACAGTTGTAAAATATGATTAGATATATATTATACTGAATTTTTAACACTCGTCTGGTTCGCTATGCTTGTAAATGAATACAGACTAGAGATTCAATTCAAGAAAGTTCAAAAGATGCGAAATATTAATAACATTCCAACGGTCGGGTCCCGACCATTGGAATGTAAGCCTGCGCAGAACGGACTTTACATGGTCTTTAATTGTACGTTGCAATTCGAAATTTGGGCAAATATATTATATTAAGCATGAAATATGATCTTTTTTCTATGAACCATCGGTCTTATCACCGGTCTGTTTATTTTATAGGAAAAGTCGGTCTGTTACCGTATCACTGGTTAAGTTCATTGAGTATTACTATATTATGCATGGTAGTATGGGCGTTCAGATACGTTTTCACACTACTCAAAGTAGCGGAGGGTAAAATTGCTTGTGCCCCTCCTGGGAATTTCTCGCCTCCCGTGACTTGAAATGCAGGCTGCGTCGCTGAAGTCCCATCCCCCCGATATCTAGAAATAGAAACTTTATTTACAAATTGCAAAATTAGAATTTACACACTGTTGGTCACACACAATTGACTAGAATTTGATAAATATAACCAGGTAATAATTTAAATTTGAATAATGAATAATTTTACAACAATGTATAAAGAAAAATTTAGAAATAAAGCAAAAAAGGAAATAATCGCAATTAAAGAAAATAATTTTAGGATTATACTAAACGTACCGCAGGTAGTAAAAGCTATTCTGGGCGGTTAGTGAAGATTATTGAATAACTTAAATAACTTAAAAGTGATCTACAGTCCGTATGTAAACAAAGCCTTTGTTTACATTTTTGTGTCCAAAATACAGCCATTTTCGTCCAAGCACAAACCGCAAACATTTTCGCGCGTTTGTTTACGTTTGAAACGGGGCGTTTACCGTTGGAAACTGAAATGTTTCACCGCTCATGTGACGTGTCACATTGAAAAGCCTTAAGCTATTTTTGGCGCAACTGTCATGTTTTGACGTGCCTCCGTGCACGTTTCAATATTTCCAAGCCCATGATAATACGTTTTAGTCACAAGAAGTATGAATATAAACAAGTTTGGTCGCTCTTACAATATCGTGAGCTTGGAAATACTGAAAAGTACACGAAAGCACATCAAAACATGAAAAATAACTGAATTAGGCTTTTCACTATAACACGTCACATGAGCAGTGAAACATGTCCGTTTCCAACGGTAAACGCCACGTTTCAAACGTAAACAAACGCGCGAAAATGTTTGCGGTTTGTGCTTGGACGAAAATGGCTGTATTGAGCTTTATTCGACAACTATTTATATATTTCAATCTTCTAGAGTATAATAAATTATCAAGAAACAACAATCAGGCTTTTCAAGAACTCAAAACATAGTTAAACTGTTTGTATCATAAAAAGTGGGCTCATTTGTGCACATGCGCAGATCGGACTGTAGATCACCTTTAAATAATCTTATGCTTGATTTAATTAAAACCGACTACCGATGACCAACATAGATTAAAGACAAACATTTTATCTAGGGAAAATGACGTTTTGCAATCACACCTAAACAAATATGTCCAATCTTTCGCGCGATATGGAAAGCGATTTGGTGCAAAATTCAAGCATTAAAATTCTACCAGTTTCAACAAACGTCGATCAACATCAACCGCGTTTTTATCATACATTCAACAAACCGATTCAACGTCAACAATAATTCCGTTCCAAATTCAACTATTAAAAAAGCCTTCTATGTCAACACCGATTTTTGTTTCACAACCAACACGAGTTTCCTTCAAGATCAACCTTAAAATTTGTGCCAGATTCAAGCAAGCAAAATTTCAATCAACAAAACCCGAAACGCTGTCAACAAATCTCGAAGCGCTGTCAACAAACCCAGTGTTTCCACTACAAAAAATAATTTCCTTTTAATAACCCGAAATTTCCTTTTTTCAGCAAAATTTCCTTCCAAAATTTTTATCAAAATTGACAGATTTAGGGGCCGACCATTTAACTTTTGAGGGGGGGGGGGTGATTTTGAAAAAAAATTTCCTGCAAGGCTATTCTGGACAAAAAAAATACCTGCACTAACAAACTGGGGAAAAAAATATCCTGCCCCAGTATTTGGTGGGAAAAAAAATGTTGCAAAACAGCATGGTTGCAGGGATCGATTTGACCAGTCCCAGAAGATCAGGTTAATTTCTTGTTGGAAAACTCCTCAAAATGCTGGAAATAGCTTATCTGAGCTTCAAAAAATCCAAAATTTTCTGGGGGGGCATGCCCCCAACCCCTCTAGAGGCTCGCACCTTCGGTGGTCGACTCAGTTGTTGCTGCCCTATGACGTATACTTATAAGTTAAACCATGTATATATATGCTCTAGGTAGCTGCAGTGATACAGACAGGGCTGTAGCAAGGCGGGTATTGGGGGTGGTTAACCCCCCCCCCAACTTTTTTAGAATCAACATATTCAGAAAATCGGGTTGGCCATTCGGAAAATTACGGCAGTAGCAATAGTAGAACAAAATTTTAGTTGTTAAACAGAGAAAATATTATAAAATTGTATTGTCACTATAAATTGTAAGCAAATTGTAAATTTCGTCATACTTTTAAAACGCTTTTTTCTGACCATCAGCATTCTGTCAAAACTTCCCCAAAGTCCAGGAAATGGCATTTCAGAGACTCGAAATTTAAAAATTTCCTTGGGCCTTTGGCCCTCGTTTTCTGCCCCCAATAAACAAAAGCTCCCTACCGCACTGCTTCTGTAATATGTCTGTGCGTAAATTATGCATATTTTTCTTAATTGTAAATTGCGTCTTCATTTTCCGAGTAGCAAACACCTTCATCTGATGGCTAATAGTATGCCATGATATATTCGGAAATTATTTTCGTCATTCGGAAATTTTTGGCCTACACCATGCCCCCCCCCCCTCCCCCAACTATACATGCTAGCTACGGCCCTGTATACAGACTTTCCGACTGGAACTTTTCCAGTTGCACATCCTTAAAAAAGGCACTGAACCAAATGTTATACCTCATAGCAAAATGTATTATTAAGAGCAATGCATTAAGCTAAAAAACTCAACGTTAACTATAATCTAAATAGTATAAGATATTGAAAAAAAAAATGCTGCGAAAGAAAGTGTGGCAAAAAAAAATCGTACATGGTGATGGTGATAAAAAAAATATCTTGCACAGAACGATCCCAGAAAAAAAATTCCCTGCCAGCAGTAAATCACCCCCCCCCCTCAAAAGTTAAATGGTCGGCCCCTCACCCAAGTTTTTCCAAAATATTTAAAATGATCCTCCCTGTCATGGGGAGATAATTGCAGTAAAATGGATTAATGAATAATAAAGTTTCCCTCAATGATCCCTCTAATGCATGGCCAGGTCCAGATCGAACATTCCCATCAAGTGCTAACTGTGGGAAGAGAGGGCTAGGGTTATGCCAGGCTGTCTTGTTTGTGTACAGCATTTGTTTTCCAATTGTGTTGGCATTGCAACACAGCATCCACATTTGCAATACTCTGGGGCATTTTCTGGGTTTTCGTAGCTGGGTCTGGTTGAAGCGGTTCACCTGGCAATTCACCATTTACCAAATTGACAAATGCAGCTGGCTGATGCTGTATAAGCTCTAAAGCAAATGCTTTTCAAAGGGCATTTAAATCCATTGCTTCCACAAGATTCTGAAATGAATATATTTATTATTTATTAAATGCAAAGACTCAAACACAGTGAAACACAGATATTTCTTACCACCAAATTACTGCATTTTCACACCTATGTGGACTTGTATATAAACAGGTAAACTTTTTTACATAATTTGATATTTTACCCGGCAAGGATATGCATAATTATGTGGGGTATTTAATAAAACAAATCATGTGTGTTAAAGCCAGTGGTTAAAGCTTTCAGAAATGTATGTCTGCGTATATTCTTGACAGGCAAAGTATCAAAATATGTAAACAAAGTTTACCTAGCTATTGTTAGATAATCATTATCCTTTGAGTGCACTATCACAGTGAACAACATTAGTTACATTACACATTCTCAAATGAGCCATTGCTCAGGCCATTTTTTGCGTATAAACTAACGAAACATATATAAACTAATGAACGAATACAATAAGATTACATGTGAAGCACGTTTATAACCAACAGTACATAACTAATAGCAATATTATGCCAATAATACAAACTCACCATCTGTCATTCGATTGTTTATACATGTATCAAAATCCTCTTCGTGGCACGCGCTTAAGCAAAAAATACCCATATTTTTGCAGGGACAGGAATTTCGCCCTCTCTATCGAAGACAGAAGCTGGCACATATCGTTTCCAATTCTTCCAGCGAAAAGCTTTCTCCGAGTGCTTCTGCCATGACAGCAACAATGACTCTGGCAATGTGTTTCGACGAACAATGCCCTAAGGAAGGATTCATGATTACTTTGACACTTCCAAAGTTTATTTTACAATGCCGAACATTAATATAATCAACACAATGAGTGCGGACTCGCACCTTTGGCTCGGCTGTGTCGGTCTCTTCTGAATGTTTCATAAACGAGGCACACAAAAAACGGCAAATGCCGAATTGATCAACAATATATCTTCCATTGATGATCTTTCAAAATATTTAATTGCTTGTCTTTCAGAAAACAACTTAAAAAAAAATTAACAACTCCACTCCTGACTCGGCTCCATTTATTTAGTGCATAGCCGCTATACTTCATATTATACAATTGAAGTGGATCCAAACCAAAACAAAAAATGTAAACAAAACCCACACATGCGCAGAATGGACTGTAATCTAGCTTTAACTCGCATGTATTTGTATGGTTTTCTGGCAGTATGCCGAAGTTCAAAGCTATTCAAACTTACAAATATAATCTGACATTACTTCAAGATTTTTAGTTCATCTTGAAGAGGTTTAACGCAAATAATTACGCTTTATTCTCATTCTGATAACTGATCCAAAGTGAATGAAAAACTATTATATAAGAATGGGCGAGAAAATGGCACGCTGAATGGCGTGCGAATCGTGTAGTGCATGCGGAATTGAATGGCATGCGAACGCTACGCTGAATGGCAGGAGGTCAGCAGCACTTTCGGAGATCCAATGAAAACGCAAGTTAATAACATTAATATCGCTGTCATCTTGTAAATGTTTCAAATATGGCAAAAGAGTTAAAATTCTAACGTAAGTCAATATCTCACTAACTTTGCAGAATTGTTTCGGAGAACGAGGCGAGAAAGCCGAAGAAACTTTGGCAATTTAATAACTTAGATGCTGGCAGATGAATCGTTTCTGTTTTAATTAAAGTTGGATTTGAGAGTAAGGGATAATTTAGCGATATAATGGGGGCGCCAACGTTCAGTTAGAAACCCTGCGAATTTAGAGTCTTCATGTCAATTAAATTAACAAATGATGGCCACTTGAGTTTGCAAGCAATTAACGCCACAGTCTAAAATTTACCCGTCGTGGAGAATAATATTTTGCACGAAGAATATTCATTTAATTACTTTGATGAATCTTTAGACAGTATAATTTAAAAACGTACAATTTCAAATCGAAAATCGGTGTGCATGATTATTGTATTTGGCCACTCTGCATTGATTCAATGGCTAACTTTAAATAATGCAAAATATCCATTCAAATTCAATTCAGTTTTTCTTTCGGTTATTACTTTCAAGAAAAGATGAATTACCTCGTGCGTGCGTGCGTGCGTGCGTGCGTGCGTGCGTGCGTGCGTGCGTGCGTGCGTGCGTGCGTGCGTGCGTGCGTGCTAACATTATCTGATCGAAACCAACGATGAAATTACTTGTTCTATTTATTGCATCCAATATCTGTTTTCTTTAACATCTTCCAAGATGTTTATATAATTATATGCGTATTGGACTAATTGACAATTTCAATCTTTATGGAATGTTGAATGGAGATCAACTCCGTACCGACCAAAGATTATGGTAGTTCTGGCCGTGCAAATATTGTTGTATTTCCAGTTTTTTACGAGGCACATGAGCTGGTCTCTGTTTGCTATTCCGCGAGTATGTGAAAACATAGCGAAGTGCAAAGTTGTCCTCCATTATGTGATGAACGGTTTTTGACACATGCGTGGGTACAAGCTCTGGCTAACATTTCTCTTTGCATTATTCATGTATTTTCACACTATTTTTCCTTTTTATTTTATAAAAATATACAGGAATGGGGGAGCAGAATGCCATGCGGAATGCCGTGCGAAACCCGTATTATCGCACGCGAATGGCATACGAATATATTATCCTGAATGGTTGCAAACTCCAGTGCCCTTCATTTGTTAATTTAAATCAGGACGCAATGTTAAATTCCCTGGGTTTATATCTGAGACTTGGCGCCACAGTATACAGCTTAATTTTTCGTTTTTCCCAAATCTAACCATAAACGAGAAATTAATCACCGACCAACTTTTATTATTTGAAGTTTCATGACTAATTCTATTAAACAATGATTGTAATTTTGTGCGCTAAACTCCACCTTAAAACTGTAAAATTTGATGTCGCTCCGATGCGAATCCGGTACCGAGTAACTGCATGGGGCCTCAATGTGTCAAAATTTGCTCGATTATCTTAGGAGCAATCTTATGTCAGAAATTGACCGCTTTTGCAATACTTGAAAACAATTATAACATTGACACCACTATTATTACCTTGCGTTTTCTAAGGATATCTAAAAGTGCTGCGGATCCCCAATCAACGCTTTGATTGGGCAATTGTACAGAATATTTTTTTATTAAGTATATGCATTTAATTTCTTGGATGAATCTTTACTGACAATTTGAAATGTAAATCAGAGTATATTATTAGTATTTGGTCATTGTCAAATCAGTTTCTATTTTACCTATACATATGCTGATCACTTCCAAGAAAAGAATGCATGCAAACATGATCTGATCGAGAACAACGATGAAATTACTTCTTTTCTATCATCTGTTTTCTTTAACATCTTCCAAGTTGTTTACATGCGCATAGAGCTTGACAATTTCTATCCTTATGGAACTGATTTCATATTAATATGAAACTAATTTTCCTATCTCTGAGGATGGTTCTGAAATTATGGAACTGAGAATGGAGATACCACCGTTCCCACCAATAATGGTGGTATAGTTCTGGGCGTGTAAATAATTAGTATTGTATTTCTGTGCTCTTTTTTGACGAGAAACTGCAGTCTCTGTTTGCGAGTACTTTTAAATTCTCTCTGTAAATAACTTATATTCATTGACATTGGTTTAAGTTTCCTTCTGTACGTTGAGTTCAGAAGTCAGTGATAATCAAATCTTTTCACATTTATAAATTTAATCTGAGATAAGTTGAACATTTATTTCAGCAAGAACAGGTATAATCGAAATAATTATGTTTATTCTCATTCGGACAACTGATGACAAAGCGAATGTAAAAATATATAGAATGGGCAAATAGAATGGCAGGCGCGGAATGGTTTGCGAAACGCGCGTGTATTATTGCGGCCGAGCGTAGCGAGGCAGCACACTATTCTTGACACGCGGTGGTTTCCCCAGAGTCCACTCGACCCAGTCTTTCGCGCGAGTTATGTATTGTCGAGATCGAGATCTTGTGTCTGTCTGTAAAGATGTTTGTCACAATCCGGGGGGAATAATTAAGCTTCAGGGACGTTTGTTAAAAGAGGGGAGCGGTCAGAAACAAGATTTTGTATTGCGCACGCATCTCCATGTGCTTCAAGAATCGAAAGATTTTTACAAAAGCGTTTCATACGGATGCAAGAAATCGAAAATATTGGGAAAAATTCAGGTAAGTATGGCTCTATTTCTTTCTTCTTATATACATCAAGGCGATGACATTTTTAGTGTTCAATCTAGAGGCAGACAATGTGCTTTCATGAGTTTATCGGCAATTTTAACTGCCCAAAATATACCACTGATCGATTGGTCAAAAACAACATTCAGTAATGTCTTATTACAAGGAGACAAAATGTACTTGCAAGCTCTGAATGATGGCTTTGTTGTCTTAGAACCTGGTGTCGAATTCTTATCTGTAGATAGCTTACCTAAACTTGTCAGTGTTTCATGTTGTACGAACATGTTTTCTTACCAGATATGTGATTCTGCGATCGACACAAGTAATATATCATTATCACCTGTAGCCAGTGTAGTGCATGCGAAAACAACTACAACACCTGTGAATCCTTTTGATGCACAAAATAACGATACTATAACCAGGCTGCCCATGGTGGTAGGACAAA